ATTTTCACTTGTGCAGTTGCTTTTATTTATTACTTCAGTTTATTTGGTAGTATCGATGAACCAGATGGCTTAAGGTTTCGTTTCCTAATGAACCAATTGGTTCTATGAATTAACTGGAGCATTTCCGAATTTTGATTTATAATGAATATATTACCAGTTAAAATAATTATTCACATTCTCTTGATGCAAGATAAAAATTTTTGGAGAATTCATTATAATCATAAAAAAATAAATATTCAAATGAGTAGTGATAGAAAATTGAGAAGAAATTTGAAATCATAAAACATACACTTTACTTTGTGATAGTTTTGATTGACTAACATCAATCATGGCAACAAGCAGAACATAAATTTTGTAGAATAGAAAGTGGGAATACAAAAAATCACTAAAATGAGAATCAAGCTTCACATTGATACAAGAAGATGAAATTTGTTAGTGAACAACACTTGCCTCTCACTTAGAGAATTTAACATCTAACAAGCACACAATTTTGAGAAGAATTGTAAAATTTATCCAGCATAAAAGGAAAATTATATTTTTTGGATTTTGTATTATAGATATCTAATTTCCGAAGGTATTGAATCTTGAACCCTTAAAATTGTTGAAAATCTTGAGTGCTAATAGTACCCGTTCCTATTGAGGAGATGGAATTAGGGAATTATCAGTAACTACATGCAAGTCATGCAACATAATCTAAAATCAATGAGGTAGCTAAAAGTTTATGTTTGCTCTAGAAAGCCCCAATCACAACTATCTATTTATATGGGACTGACATGAGCAAATAGCGACCTTGGCAAATAAGATATGTTATGACTCCAATAAAAATTGTATAACATGTAAACCAGTTAATCGATCACAACAACCAACAACTTAACCCATTTAATATGGAACAAAGGTGAATTTTTAGGATTTCAATCAATAGTCTAACAAAGAGCTATTAATTGAAATAGAACTTTACCAAGGCAACAATTGAACTAAGAGCCAAATCAATCCATGCATTAGAGAATAGAACCATTCTTCTTAGGAATCATCATGTTATGCTTGCTTACACCAAAACAAAACAACATAAATAAAAAATCTATTTAATAAGAATAACCACCAACAACAACAAGGAGCCTTTATCTCACCATGTGGAGTCGGCTATATGATCCTTTTTCTCCATTGCATCCTATCGAGTGTCATATTTTCATTTATATCCAATAGATTAAGATCATTTTTTATACAATATGCTCAAGTCTTTTTAGGCCTACTTCTACCTTTTTTAACATAAGTCAAATCTAAAACATCTACTCTTCTAATTAGATCATCAAATTGTTGACAATTAATGTGATAAAACCATCTAAGACGACTCTCTCTAATCTTGTTTGCCACTTGAACTACACCAACCCTTTCACAGTTATATTCATTTCACGTTGTCTCTAAATGTCAAGCCACTAATCCACTTAAGCATCCTTATCTCAGCAACACTTAACCTTTTTTTTATGTTTTTTTTTGGAAGGACAATATTATGTGCCATAGAGCATTAAAGGTATCCCCACCATCATATAAAATTTTCCTTCTAGTCTAGCGGTACTTTTCTATGACACTGTAGGCTCAATGCATTCCTCCACTTCAGCCAACCAACTTGAATTCTACTAGTAACATCCCCATCTATATCACCATCACTTAAACAATAGATTCGAGATATCTAAAATATTCACAAATTTTAATGATTTGATCACCCATAGTTACAACTCTACCACTAGAGCTACTTCTAGTAAAATTACATTCCATACATTCAATTTTAGATCTACTCAAACTAAAGCCTTTAGAATCCAATGTAGACCTCTATAATTCAAGTTTTTCCTGAACTCTTTCTCTAGTCTTATCCACAAAAATGATATCATCAGCGAAAAACATACACTAAAGTACATCTTCCTATAAATGTCCATTAAAACTATCCATAACTAAAGCAAAAAGATATGGACTTAAAGCAGATCCCTGATGTAATCCAACTAAAATGGAAAATACTTGGGCAATCCTTCATTTGTTCAAACACAAATAACAACTCTAGTATACATGTCTTTAGTGACTTAAATATCAGTCATATCAACACCTTTCTTTTCTAGAACTCTCCATAGGATTTCTCTTGGAATCTTATCTTAAGTTTTTCTAAATTAATAAAATTCATATGTAGATCCTCCTTACTCTGTACCTCTCCACTAGACCTCTCAATAAATGTATAGCTTCCATAATTGACCTGCCCGACATAAAACCAAATTAATTATGTGAAATATTTTTATCACATTTTAATCTATGTTCAATTATTCTCTTCCATATTTTTTAAGTATGCCACATCAACTTAATTCCTCTATAGTTTGCACACACTTGTGTATCCCCTTTATTCTATAAAATGGAGACCAAAATACTCTTCATCAACATTTCACGCAACTTTTTAGTTTTTAAAGCAATATTAAAGAGTTTAGTAAAACAAATAACTCTGAAATCTCCTAAATATTTTCATACTTCAATTGGGAATTATTAGGTCCTGTTGATCTTCCACCATTGGTTTTCTTTAAAGCCTCATCAACTTATTTCCTACTGATGCGACGGTGAAATTAAAACTTTTTATTATTATTAATGACATTAAGATCACTATGGTCGATCGTATTTTAAAAAATATCATTAAAAAGTTTATTAAAATAGCCCACCCACCTATGTTGAATATCTTTCTCTTAGAAAAACACTTTTTGATTTTCATCTTTAATACACCTTGAATTAAATTTTTACTTTTTTTCTCTTTATTTGACTAGTCTATACATTTACTTTTCACCCTCTTTAATATCTAATTTTTTATAAAGATTATTAAAACCAAATTTTTTAGCGTCACAAATCGTTCTCTTAAACTGGCTACAGGCCACCTTATATTTTTCCTAGTTCTATAAGTCAATTTTTTTAACACAACTTTTTATATTTTATCTTTCTTTGCATATTATTATTTTACCACTAATTGTTTTTATTTATAAAAAACTTTTCCTTTTGATTCTCTAGGTTGATCTTTTCATTTGTTTAATTGTGCTTGTTACATTATCCAACATAGATTTAACTTCTTCATGAACATACTAAATCTTGAAATCTTGAAGTTTACTCATAAAAATATTTTTATTTGTCTTTTAGGTCCCCCAATCTAATTCTATGACAATGTTTCATCGGATTCTTTTTCTTACGACTTCTCATCTTAAAATACATAACTAATAATCGATGTTGACCACAAATTTTCACTTGGAATGATCTTATAATATTCACATTCTCTGTAATCTCTTTTTCTCATAAGAAATTAATCAATTTGTGCTTTATTAGATTCATTCTTAGAAGTAATAATATTTTCATCTCTTTTCTTTAATAAAGTATTAGCAATAACAAAATTATACACTGTAGTAAAATTTAATATGATTTTAACTTCTTTATTAATCACTTTAAACCGTAGCTGCCATGAATATTTTTAAAAATTTTTACCACTCTATTAACATTTCCATTTAAATCTCTTCCAATAGCAATTCATACTTCATGAGGTATTAGTTGTATTAATCTTCTAGGTCATTCAAAAATTTTTCTTTTGAATATCTAATTATACTTGAGGAGCATAAATACTTATAATATTATTATTAACAACAATCTTTATAGCTAAAATTATATCTCCAATTCTATTAATTTTTACAATATTATCTTTCAAAAACTTATATTTAATTACGTCAGCACTATTTCTAATGCGACTCCTACATAAATATCAAAGTTTAAAACCTAAGCTATCAATTTCCATAGCATTTTCTCCAATCCAATTAATTTCTTGAATAAATAAGATGTTTATCTTTCTATGAATCATAATATTTATAACTTCCAATAATTTACCTGTTAGAGTACATATATTCTAAGAACTTATCCTAATAATAGTTTCATGGGCTTACTTCTTTATCTGCATCCGTCCGTGATGAGAGAAATTTTAATTTTATTAAAATAAACGAGATAGATTTAATTTTCGTGCTTTAATTTAATTTAATTAGTAGTTTTTTTATTTTGTTAATTACTATTTATAAAAATGGGGTATTAAAATTTTAATTCACCGTCCGAACGTTTGTTTGTGCCTTGGATAATTCCAAGTCTCGGGCTAAGTTGTGACACCTAATAAGCAAATTTATGTTCTTATCATAAAAGGAACATCTTGTGGTTACATAAAAGATCTTGAGGTATCTAAAAGTTGCCTTAAAAATGGATTAATTTAATGAATCCATTTTGTATTGGTGCAAATTTGGTGAATTCTATTATTTGATGAATATTGAATAATATGTAACGCATTATTGCCACATTGAGATTTATGAGTTTTTAGTGGCCCAAAGAAACATTGAATTTAAATATAAAGTCATGACAATGTTGTTACAATGGGTCTTTGTTGAGCTATGAGAAATTATCAAATGCTTTAATGAAATTATATCTTGACATTAAGATTGATAAGTGTAGCCATGAGGCCCATGACCTTGTCAAATATGATAGAACAAAGTATATTAAGTTTGATTGCCAATTTACAAAGAAAACTTGAAGTTGGTATCATTTGCATATTACATTTTTCCCATCTTGGCCCAGTTCACAAATATCCTTAAGGGCAGTTCAAACCGAGTTGTAATTCCTTCTTTAGCAAGTTGGGTTTGATTGATATCTACTCTCGAACATGAGGAGTCTGGAAAATATGGAAATGATGAATGAGATCCAAGGAAGCGCCACCCAAATTAGAAGGAAAAGAAGTTGCGTTCATTGCATATGGATGATTTTTCTAGAAGTAATTGAAGATATGTACCTAGTTGGAAGAATTTTTTATTTGGATTTAAAATTTGTATCTTTTTTCTTTAGTAAGTTACCATAGAAGTTAAATGTGCGAGAATACTAAATATCATATAAATATTGCTTAGTTGTTCTTGATTAAAAATAAGTCCAAAAAATATGAATTTATAATATTATTTTTACTTCAGAGTGCAGGCATTGATTCTATCTCCTACAAGAGAGCTTGCTGCCCAGACTGAGAAAGTCATATTAGCAATCGGTGATTACATAAATGTGCAAGCTCATGCTTGTATTGGTGGAAAGAGCATAGGAGAGGATATCAGAAAACTGGAATATGGAGTTCATGCAGTCTCAGGAACTCCTGGAAGAGTTTGTGACATGATCAAGAGACGGACCTTAAGGACAAGATCAATTAAATTGCTAATTCTTGTCAGTAATTTGTTCCATTGTTTTTTTTTCCCCATTGCTTGTGTTCGTTCTCTCTTACAACACTAAATATATCAATTTTGAACAGGACGAATCAGATGAGATGTTGAGCAGAGGTTTTAAGGATCAAATATATGATGTTTACAGATATCTTCCTCCAGATCTACAGGCAAAGAGTGAAAATTTTGTTGATTATGCCTTAAACCTTTTTATCAATTCCTTATCATGTATTCAGGCTTTATACTACTTTATCAGCTTTCTAGTTACTTTTTCGCTGTTTCAACTTTAAAATTTCTACCCGTTAGTTTAACCATTCTATTTTCAATACCTGTTTAATTCTCACCATTTTCCTTATTTCTTAACAAATTTTTTTTGTTATTGGCCTTTTAAACTCCCTTTCAGTTTCAGTGTGCTTTTATGGTATTGGCTTTTGTTTCTTTATTTTCCGGGCTTAGGACATTTTCTTTGTGAGTTTTCATGGCTTTTTTTTTTGTTTTAAAGCATCCAAGAATTTATCTAGGTGCATTGTCATAACTGAGATTGGCGCTGAATTGTAATTGTGAGACGCAACCATATCAATGTTTCATCAATATGGATTCAAAATAGTTATAGGAAAGTTATTTGCTGTTTTATTGCTATCACATTGTTTTAGTTTTCTCGCTCTGGTAATGTTCTGATAACTTGGGACTGTTTGAATCATTTTTTGTTTGTTTTTTTTTAATATATTTTGTTTTGAATTTGATTTATTTATGTTTTGATATGTTAATATAAAGTATGATTCCATTTTGTTTTGGCAGCAGTTGGCAGCTGACAGTCATGGGCACCAGGTCGTGGAAGTTAGTGGCTGGTGGTGCTGTATTTTTTTTAATAACGACCAAAATAATTAAATGTTATTTTGATTGTTTTTAAAAATAAAATATAAAAACATATAGAAACCAAGAAACGAACATAATAAAAATCCAAAAACCAAAACGATCCCATATAGACCCTTTGTTTGTGTTATCTTACACTTTAATTAGTCTTAGGTTTGACACAAACCAAATGACTCCAAAAAGAATTATGTTATTCTGTATATTTCAGGTTTTGCTTTTGTGTGCAATCTTAGAACTATCAAGTTGAGTTGTGGTTGGCTCAGCAACATATATGGAAGGCATTTTAGTAAAGTTGTCCTTTATTGTACCTTTGTTTGGATGTTTATAAATTAAAGCATTCAGCATCCCATCTTGGCCTCCACATGACAACAATGGTCTTGTTTTTGCGGTCATTCTCTCTGTGCATTGTTGCTACATCTAATACAATTCTGATCACAGCTCATACTTCATGGACTTATTATTGATTCTCTCTTTCATTGTCTCTCGAGTTTGGCTAGTCCTCATCCACTTATGCAAATCTCCCCTCAGTGAAAGCCTCCAGTGGCATTGCTTCAATTAGCTTAAAATAAGAAAAACTTTCTGCCAAGTAGTTGGTAAGATGTGGCTTTTATTTAGTTGCCCTCTCCTCTCAATCTCTTTTAAATTTGTCATTAGAGTGGCTTATTTTGATAGGAAAGTAGGAGTTCAGGCTTATGTTTTTCTCCTTCTTTTTGTCTCTCTTGGATTCTTCATCTTAGGGTTATTTTCTTGCTTTGTGGGGAGAGTACTTATTAGGTTTTGATCAAGGAGAGTATGGCTTGATTGTGAATCTTGTTGTTCACATTTTGATCTAGAATGCAACATGGAATCAGGTGATAAGTGTAGGGAGAAGAATATGGAAAGACTAATAAAAGGAATTGGCCAGCTATTCTAGATATTTCTTTAAATCTCTCAGAAGAATGATCTAGCTGCTATCTTACATATCTCTGATTCTTTGATGTCTTGTACAGAGAGTAACATAACACAGTCCCTAGGTGGAGTATGCAAAAATCATGTTTCCATCCAAAACTCAAATGTTCATTCTACTTCCCATCATAGATCAAATTACATGGCCTCAGTTAACTTTTATTCTGAGTGGTGAAGCTATTTTAAAACAAAAACTAAATTTCCTTGCTGTTCTTACGGAAACAATTACATTATTTTTGAAATAAAGGAAAAAATGAACAAAATACATAATAAAAAATCGAAAGTGCACTCAATGATAATGAATGATCTAAACTCAAATAGGTTTGATGAGTATCATTAATCTCAGGATTCAAGTACTTCACTTTACAGAGTGAAAATATTTTTACACTCAAAACATTCAAAACTATTTAATGATGATAATAGCTAAGAAGCTGTGAAAGTTCGATGATGATCACGCTAGTGCATTTATCAATGTCTATAATTTTTAAGGATGACATATTTCCGTGGGATCTAAAATGCCATCCATAGGCATGTTTGTAGAATATAATGGTGTACTAAGAGCTTGAATTTTAGCTGTGAGTTTTTTCAGTAGATTGGAGATTTTCGACAAAGCCTTTTCAATATCTTTGAACTCTTAATTCTCATACATGCTTATTCATGACTCCAATCCAATGCATGAGGTTTTATTTCCATGGAACTTTCTAGCTTTTTTCTTAATCTCACACATATCATAATGAAATCCCCACAGATTTGGACTAGTGTTCTGATGTCAAAATGTGTTTTGGGATTGTGGTGCATAAGACTTGTGAAACAATAGGAAGTATATAGGATGAGAAAATTAGACTTTTCTATGGAGGATTAAGAATTGTCCTTGATCTATGTGATAGAAGAGAGTAGATGAGCTTAAAGTTTGCTCCTTTGCATTTCTGGGATTCCATGAGGTTTGTGAACCATGCTTAGGAAAGAGATAAGATTTAGGTAGTCTCTTGATCGAGGATCAGAGAGATGGAGCAAAATTGATGAAAAATAGTTCATTATATCTTGTTTAATTATAAAGATAATTGATCGAGGATCGCGAGGCTTTCTTCATTTTTTCTTTCTTTCCTATTATCCTTCATTCCTTTCTAGTTTTTTCCTTTATATGTATTGTATTAGGGTTTAGAAGTCAGTTTTTTTTAGAGTTTTGTTTAGGACAACCTCTGGCTTCTCTAGTTTCCTATCTAGGTTATCCAAGGGTCGAGTGGTGCTTCGGCTGTATCTCGCTCCCAAGGTATGGTTTATCCTTCCCCAACTCTTCCACGCCTCTCTCACTTCGCTGCCACACATCCCCCCTCACTGTATTTGCCTAGAACAACATCCGTTAGATGTTTTTCTTGCAGATTTTCTCTGTCTAGCCCTCTGCTATCTCTGTCGCTACCTTCTAGATCATCCTACACCTGCTGCTGCCTTCCATCCCCACGTTCTACCCAATTTCGTCTTCCAAAACCAGCCCTCCCCCTTTCCCTTTTGTTGTCGCCCCTCCAGAACATGTGCTCCATCTTCTGCTGCCCCAAACAAAAACTGTTGCTATTTTGCTGCTACCATCTTGCTGTTTAGTCTCCGCAACTCGCTGCCATCCCTGAACTGCACCCCCACACTTCCCTTGTTGTTGCTAGTGTCGCCTAATAGAATCCCTACCATCATTCCAATCCCTTACTACAAGTTCCACTCCCCGTAACCAACCACCATCGCCCCTGGATCGACCCCCTAGTGCACGCTTGTGTGTCGTGTTGTCGTTATTTCCCATTTCAGTGTATTGGGTTGTATCCGTCTTTTGACTTTTCAGTAATAATATTTGTTTGCTTTTTGTTGTTTGGATTAACTCTGAGATTATTTGGTATCAGAAGTAGCCTAATCCTAATCTTATCCTATGATTATCTAAATTCACCAATACCTAACCCAATCTCCACCCAAAACCCCTACCCTTGCTGATTTTGCACATCAGCCCACAAAAGCTTTTTTTAACACTCTAGACCACCCCGTTAATATTGAGTTAACCCAAACAACAATAGGGAAGTAGTTATTATTGTTGAATTCAAATAGGAACTTACAACCAAAGACACTAGAAATTAGAAATTCCAATAAATGACAACTCACAATCAAATTAGGGTGAATCTCGGAGTGGTGGTGGTGATCTACGAGGGGTTGGAAAGTGGCAGGATGAGTGAAAAAATGGTTGGCAGACAAAAAACAGCAAGAGAACGGTTTCACATGTTCCGGACAGCAAGTATGCAATATATTCACGTGACAAGGCTGTCCTGATGATGGCAGCTTGGGGGGAGGGCGGGAACAGCAGCGACAACGAAGATGGACAGCTGGAACAATAATGGCAGCGGGTATGGAGGGCTGGAATATTGGTGACAGCAAATGTGAAGGCCTGAAATAGCAGGGACAGCAAAAGGGAGGAGGGAACGACAATGGCAGCGAGGATGGAGAGCTGGAACATCGATGGAGAATGTGGTGGACTGTCGGATAGCCAAAGGAGGGCTGTCTTGGGCTGGGGCATCAAGAAAATTGCTAGAAAACAACAAAAGGGCTGCTATCAGCGATGAGGAATATGTGGCAGCGAAGCGGCAGGAACGTGGAAGATTTGGGGAAAGATGAATACCACATGGAGATCAAGATATAACTGACGCACCACCTGAAACCCTAGGATACAACCCTTGAAGGGAATAAGAGAAACCGATGGGTGTCATTATACAAAACACACAAAAACTAACCCTAAACTCTCATGAAAGCAAATTTAAATAATCGAATAACTATGAGTGGACCCCTCTACTTGAAAGAGGTGGTACTCCTATAGGAAAGCCAAGTTGCTCTCACATCGGCTGAACCGAACCGATCCAGACCGTAGATGGGCCTCCGACACCCGTTCTCGAGTCAATTGCTTGCTCCCGTGTTTGTCTTCCACTTCTGCACTCGCGAACATCCCGCGTCAGAAAAGTCTCGTCCGCGTCAATCTCCCGTGGTTGGGAGAGTTTCGATCTCATCCGTCGAAGCTTCTGTCTCCTCATAGTATGATATCAGGTCGCATACGTTGAAGGCGGCTAAGTTACTGCAACTTCCTGGTAAGTTAATCTTGCAGACGCCGTTCCAAAGCTCATTCTGGTAGACTAAATATCCATCATTTTTGGCACAACTTGAGCTGAACCTGAATGTGGATGCCTATTCTAAAGAACCAAGCATCGAGTCATCAAATCTGTAATTGACTTCTTTCACTCCTACTCGTCTAAGTATATCTGGTAAACAAGTATGTAAGGAGGATTCAATGTTGGGACGAAAGCTATAACAGGTTGAGCAACTCTCACGAGTA